ACACACACACACACACACACACACACACACACTCATACAGACACACAGAGACACACACATCCACACACACACACATAAAGTAGGCTTACCTAGCAAGTCGTCATTTCTACTCAGGCTGAATCACCGAGAATCACTTTGATCCCCAACGCCATCCGCCCCATAAAACACTACCACTAATACATCTATCAATTACCATACCAGAATATCACATTTTTATTATAAAGGTAGTGTCATCGAGGTCATGTTTATGCAGGTACATATTTTACGCCCCCACCGGCACAAGTTAGATCATAATTTGAAGGAGAAACGCTTCGACCCTGCTTATCAGGGCCAACCCGGGCTCAGAGGTACACTGCAACATCCCAGCAGAAAGACTGGGATATTCAATAATTGTAGAAAGTAAGTAAGTAAGTTTATGGGTTTAACGCCCCCTATCAACACTGTTAGGATATTTAGGAGGCGGGACCTTCGATTAAAGTCGGTCTCTGATATTAGGTTATAATAATATAACAGTCGGGACATCTGATTTCTAACGTGTGTCTCTAGCTCTGATAGGACCCTGCAGAATGGGCTGGGACAGAGAGCCTTGAAAACTCCACAAGACGACCCGCACCCAATCTGGGATTCAAACCCGGGCCGTGCTCCGTTGTCCAGCATGATGTAATTGACTTCACCTTCACCTATCCCGTAGACTGTCTGTCCGTCGGACGCTTTTGAAGATTTGACCTCCAGCTTCCTCCACTTCTTCCGGTCTTAGGGTTTTTTTAGCGTGTCTTTGAATTACAGGTCTGTCCATTCCTTGTTTATTGCCCTCAAACTCTTTTTTGGTCTGCCTCTGCTTTTTTTTCCTTGGACACTGCCTTGCAGGATCATCTTGGCAGGGCTGGGTGAACGGGTGATGTGTCCGTACCATTGCAGTTTGCGTTTCCTGACCAGAGTGAGAAGGCCAGCATACGTTCCAATTTCATTTTTGATCCGTTGTTTGACTTCATCATTCGTGATGTGATCTTTGTATGAGATACCAAGGATTTTTTTGGAAGCATAATCTCATCAACACAGCTTTGATCCTTCTTTCAAGGTCTGCATTCAAGGTCCAGGATTCACATGCATACAAAAATACTGACATGACCAGAGAACCCATCAGCCTGATCTTTGATCTGACGGTGATATTTCTGTTGTTATCATTGACTAGAAGTCTCGATATTTGAAACTGGAGTAGGTGAAGGTCGTCTGGTGTCAGAGGTAATGGCAATGGTAACGCCAAAATTGCCGTCTGTTCAAAGTTTGGGCACTTCCCAAACTTGAGTGTCCTTGGAAACGGAAAATTTACGTTTATAATCGTTTCGTGCCTTTGATCAACATTTTTCTGTTTAAACTGCACAGAATAAATGTTTTTAAACGGAGATTTTTAAAAAAAGTGTTGACTCCTCCCTCCCCCGAAAAAAAAATGTACAGTATTTTTTTTTTAACCCTCCCCTTTCACAAGAAAAAAACCCATCCCCGCCGGAAAAATGCTGGTTTCTTCGATTTCTATTCTAGACGAGCGCCTCATTTGACCACAATGCCACACACACACAGAAAAGTGGACCAACTTGTCCAAAACAATTTCAATTCTGAATCTTTAAAGAATACCGGAAGTGATGTTTCGCATCGTCCCGGCAAAGTCCACTGAAAAGTTGGAGGAAAACTTTGAGGGTCCTAAAATGTGGGTTCAAATAATAATTATCCCGTAATCTAGGCTAGTAGTTGGGGTAATTTTTGGTTGCGGATGTTATTGTTCTGAAAGTGACCCGCATTTAGACGTCTTGGGCGAGAAAGAGAGAGAGAGAGAGAGAGAGAGAGAGAGAGAG